AAGGTTTTTTTGGTAGAATTTTGATCTATGTATAGAAAACATGATGTAATTTGTGTTGCAACAAATAAAATCCACATTTCGATATAAGTAAATAAATTTTTAATATTATATGCTTTATAATTTTGACAACTTATAATTGATATTAAGTGAAATGATACTGCATTCTTTAGCCAATTTTTTTATGGATTACAATATGAGGTAAAGAAATTGATGTTGAATTTATTTGATCCTCAAACATTAAGTCAAGGAATTGATTTTGCTATAAAGTGTGACAATCAACTTTTTGAATTTTGATTTGAAAATTATATAAGTAGGTTTCAACATTATTATAATTTAATGGCAACACCAACATCTTTTCAAGACATACTTTTGGAAGTAGAGGATATGCAAATTGATATGATATATTTTAAATCTCTTATTGAGCAAAACAAGATTCATTACTATCAAGAAGGATTGTATTTATATTGTGGAGAAGCAAAGCACATTATTTAATATTATCTAAAAAAATGAGACAATCATAAAATAAGAAGTATAATTGTCAAAAAATACAATATGTTAGAAAATGAGTTTATTGAATTATAATAGAAATCATGTGTCTATAATCTTGTACAGTATCTAATAAAGTTTTTATTCTTTCTTCAAAATCATCTCTTTATTTTATAATAGATATTAATTTAGGACCTAAACATTGCAAAGTCTCTGCCTTGCTAGATTTAAAAGCCTCAACTTGTTTCTAAGATGAAAAATTTGCTAAAAGACATAACATATCTTAAATAAAGAAAAAAAAAATTTATTCATGTAGAAATCATAGATGATTGTTTTTTATCTTTTAGAAATATTATTTATAAAAAAATACTTTTAAAAGTAATAATTAATAATTATAGTAGCTTTGTAGTATTTAATATCATTAGATCTCTTTTCAATTTAATTATTTTAGATTTATTATAATTAAAAAAATATAATCCTTGAATAGATTAAATTTCTTATAGTCTTGATTTTTTTGAAAGCATAATTAAGAGTATAATTAATCAAGTACAAAGTTGTAAGTCTAGTATAATGATACTTGTATTTATAGGTATAAGAGCTCTCTTACATGTTAAAAAAGAAGGATCACCTTGTATCATTTATGCTATGCCTATTTTTAATAAAAAAAATCAAATGATAATTTTAGCCAATATTAAGATTTTTAAGGTATTTGAGAAGAAAAATAAGGATACTCTTCAAAAACACTATCCTTATGACTACTCAATTCATCTTCAAGAGAGAAATCAACTAGCAATTGGACCAATCTACAATTTATCAAAAAATGAGTTGGCTAAATTCAACAATATATTGAAGAAAATTTGGCCAAGAACCTTATATGTCAATCCAAATTTTTAGCACAAGCTCCAATTTTATTTGTGAAGAAAAAAGATGGATCATTGCAGATAAGTATTGATTATCAAGGATTCAATAAAATCACTATCAAGAATAGGTACCTACTATTTTTAATATCTAGACTTTTTGATTAATCAAATCAAGTTAAAATCTATATAAAAATAGATCAATGAGGGACATACAATTTGGAATGCATTAAAAAAAGAGATGAATGAAAGACTACATTTCAAACCATATATAGGATTTTAAATATAATGTCATGCCTTTTGGATTTACAAATGTATTAAAAACTTTTAACATCTAATGAATGATGTCTTTTGAGAATTTTTACAAAATTTTATTCTTTGTTATCTAGACAATATCTTAATTTATTCTAAAAATTCATAAAAATATGAACTTCATATTTTTTGTATGTTACAAAAACTAAGACATGTAGGACTCTATGTCAAGATTAAAAAGTATGTATTTCATACTACTCAAGTTGACTTCTTAGAATATATCATTTCAAATGATAAGCTTATGATAGATCTTAAGAAAGTTCAAATTATTATGGATTAGAAGATCTCAATAATGGTAAAAGGTGTCCAATGTTTTTTAAGATTTGCCAACTACTCTCACATCTTCATTAAAGACTTCTCTTAAGTTGTAGCTCTACTTACATATTTGACTTTTAATGACAAATTTCAATAGAATCAAGAAGTAGAAGTAGTATTTGAAGTTTTAAAGATAATTTTTATTTTTGCACCAATTCTGTATGGTGTCAATTTCTTTAACCATTTTTTATAAAAATAGATGCATCAATTTTTTTATTATTATTTTTTCATAAATAGAAATAAATGATAAACTTTATCTGATAGTTTTTTATTTCAAAAATATTTTAGCAAAAAAAATTAATTATAAGATCCACAATAAAAAACTTCTTATAATTATGGATTAATTTTAAGAATGGTACTATTATTTAAAAAACACTCATAATCTAATTATCATATATACAATCACAAGAACCTTGAGAATTTTATATTAGCATACATTTTGAATTGTCGCCAAGTCTGTTGGAGTATATCCTTGTCAAGATTCAAATTCAAGATCACTTATCGACTAAAAAAATAATAAGGTTCGTTAGGTGTACTCTTTAGATAATCTTACCTTGAATTAAAGGAAGAGATATTACTTTCAATCAACAATAGATAATTCTCTTGAAACAAGAGCATTTCCATCTCTAAGCAATGAAATCAACAATAATTATTGATTCAACTTTCATTAAGCAAATTCAATCAAGTATGTCTTCCATTCTTCTTATTTTTGATATTAAAGAAAATCCTTAAAAGTCTTATGATAATTTTAGGTTTAAATTCAAAAACTATCTACTATATTTTGAAGGCTACTTATATGTTCTAAAAGGTGAAGGTTGATTATATGTTCTTCAAGCTTATTATGAATTTCTAGGAGTAAGACATTTAAAGTATAATAAGACTTTGGAACTAATATCCAAAGATTATTGGTGAGTCCAAATGTAGAAGGAAGTTTAAGATTTTATACAATCCTATGATGTTTGCTTAAGATCAAAAACTCCTCGTCATCAACCTTATGAACTTTTTCAGCCATTATTCATCTCAAGACAATCATAGTCTTTTGTTTCTATAGATTTTATCATGGAACTTCTAGTCTCAAATTCTTATGATTCTATATTTGTGATAATAGATTGTTTCATCGAGATGACATATTTTGAACCATGTACAAAATCTATCACAAGTGAAAAAATAGCTAAGTTTTTTCCTTAACAACATCTATTACTATTATGGATTGCCTACAAATATCATATCAGATAAGAGAACTTATTTTGTATAGAATTTTTAGAAAATACTTTTAAAATTTCTAAAAGTCAAAATAAAACTATTTTTGGCTTTCCATCTTCAAATTGATAGACAAATATAGCATATAAATTAAGTTTTGGAGTAGTATTTGAGGTGTATTATCAACTACCAATAAGATGATTGGATAACTCTTTTACCATTGATAAAATTTACTTTGAATAATATGATATATTCTTCTATGTAATTAACATCTTTTTTTGTTAATTATGGTTATCATCTATAACTAGATGCTTTTGGCTTTTCAAAAGTTAATAATCTTGTGACAAAAAAATTTATAAATTTTTTATTTGAACTTCATATAAAAATGAAAGCATAATTAAAAGAGACATAAGAACAATAAAAGAGCAATGCAGATGCCTATTACAAGCAACAACCTCATTTTTACGTTGGTGATAAGATATGATTATTTTGTTATAATATTAAAACTATTGGCTCTTGTAATAAGTTGAATTATCATACTTTTGAACCATTTTCTATTTGAAAACAAGTAAATCTAGTTGCTTATTAATTACATCTATTAGAATCTAAGAAAATCCATCTTATATTTTACATGTCTCTTTTGGAACCATATAAGATATTGAATATCTTAGAAAGAAGACAAATACTACTACATATTATAAAAATAGGTAATTATGAAGAATTTGAGGTAGAAGAAGTCTTAAACTTGAAGTGGCGCTAATTTAGATTAGAATATCTTATTCATTGGCATGAATATGATATTAACAAATACACATAGAAGCCAACAAAAAAAACTTACAAATGCAATAGAGACAGTCAAAGCTTTTTATGAAGATGAAAGATAATAAATCTTTACTACAATAGAAGCATAATTTTTTAAAAATTACATTATACCTTTTATCATTGTTTGTAGTTTTTATCTAATTATGGCATTTAAAAGATGAAGAATCAATAGCTAATAAATTCAACTTAAGAGCCATCATTTACTAACTTATAAGATAAGATGTTGCAATTATCACAGCCTTTAAGATACTGTAATAAAGATGAAGACCTTCAAGAATGACATGTTCTTCTTCAAATAAATAACAAAATATAATGGATTTGGTATTATGACTTGAGAAGAGAGTTTCAATATTTGGTGATTTTATATATACAAATATTTGAAATATACAAATAAATAGATGTAATAAGATTCATGTGATTTCAAATATACAAATAAATAGATGTAATAAGATTCATTTGTAAAAATCTGTAATAGAAATCACAATACTATTTGTACCATATAGAAGGAGAAAAATAAAAAATAAAAAAAATGCATTCCACTTAGGACTTTTTTTTTTTTTTTTTTTTTTTTTTTTTGGAAATTAAGCCAACTCAATGAGGTTTCTCTATTCAAACCAATAAAAACATTTAAAAAGTTGTGGTCCCTCACCTTATCTCCACTTTATGTCTTTATTTTTTAGTAAACATATTTAGACTCTGAATATACTAGATTCAAGCATATACTATATATTTATATGCAAAACCTTTACTATGCATAGTTTCGAAAAGAAAAGTAACAATAACGATGGTAAAGAAAAGGAAAGGAACCACAAAGTTCCAGAAGAAAAAGACATGGAATCATAAGGGAAAGGAAAGAAGGCGAAATCGAAAAGCAACAGAAACTAAATGGTGAGTGAAAATGGGAACATTGGAAGTTAGCATTGATACCCGCGACAGGTCCTCCAAATCCCAACGTCTCCTTGACCACGTCATCATAATTGATTCGCGCTAACGTTTATCTTCCTCATTTGGCGCCACTCTGCCTGCCTTCCCGCCATCTCGCGCTCGTCAGCCAGAGTTGGCTATGGCCTACAGTTTCAAAGACGCTCTCTCTCTCTCAATTGCTGGCCGTTGAAGGTTGCATCAGTGCTTGCAGGTATTGTGGGACGGAGAGAGTTGGTGTTAGGATCTTGTATCGTAGGACTTAAGCCTTTCTGGTTTCTGAAGGGGTTTTCATTCTGTCGTGGAGTTGGAGCGCTTTTGGTGTGGACTCGGCTCTGTCGAGGAGTTGGAGCGCTTATGGTGTGGACCCGGCTCTGTCGAGGTTTGATGCCGCCCTAGGTCTGTTGTTTACATCCCTTATGCGTATCAATCTGTGTGGTCCGGGCACGTCGTCTATTCCTGATGTGTCTTGACTCAGCAAGGTCACGATCGTCGACGTGCTTTATCTTGGTTTGTCGAACATGGTACGCATTCTTGGGAATGGGTCTCATTGGGAGCGTGTTTGCGCTTCGAGGCACTACCGTGTGTTCTTCAATTTGCAACGTAGAATGTGGAACACCAGCACATATCTCTTACGTCGTTTCTAGGCAAAGTCCAGCTCTCTCTTACGAGGGTTGTGTTCCTTGGAATCCCGAGTGGGACTTTTTGAGAATCGGATGCGACTCTAATTTCGTAGGCTTTTTACTCGCAATCGCCCTGTAATCGTCAGTTGGTTTTGATCTTGCGTCGGTGTCCTGTCATATAGGGTCTGTCCATGTCATTGATCATTTTCGGAACTTATGACTTTATCTCCTGGAACCAATAATTTGGCAGTGAATCACTTGTGATTCTGTATGAAATGGGTCAGATGCCTGCTACATTGCTAATTTTTGGTGGTTAGCATTAAAGTAATGACACATTCTGAGATCTCTTGCACTGTGTGTGGCAGGAAGTTAAAAGGTTGATGTCCTTTTGAACTCTGATGCAATGTGCTGTGAGGAGCATGCCTACGGAAATCTCGAACATCTGAGGTCTTGCCGATCTAGAAGCATTCAAATCAGATCGCTGCTGGTGAGTCCATTTGTTGGAGTGTGAAGCGAACTAAATTGCGCGAAACACGCGATGTTTTCTTGCATGCTGATTTCATTAGGTTTGTCTCTTCAGCCTAGCGATTGCTTCTTGAGGCAGGAATTTGAATCCTGTTAGTCAGGTTTAGCCCAGGAAGTCTGTTGACACTAATTAAGTTAGGTTCGCTCAATTCATATGCTACAGTTGCGTCTTCCTGATCTTCTGACCTATCTTCGCAGGTCTCCAGGTCCTCAATCTAAGAACCTGCTGTCTCTCATGACTATTCTTGTGAATCGTTGTGAAATGGCACCTCCCGTTAAGGTTGAAGTTCCAATATCAGTATCATTACTGAACTCTTCGAACGATGCTGACTTTTATGTGGCGACCTTCAAAGAAGGTGAAATTTGTAAAGTCTTGAACACGAGGAGAGGCTCATCGTTAAAATTTAAGAGAGTGTTAGACTTCAATGACACAGTGAAGCTAGAGCAAAGAACGACACCTTCCCATACGCGCGATCATTTGAGGTCCGGATCTGGAAACGACGTACAGGAGGGTAAGCGCGAGAAGACACTCGCAGAATTCGTACTTGAATTGAAACGGAGGAAGAACAGGGGATCTTTAGCAACTGTAAAATGGAACCCTCCCGTGATGGAACTGATTCCGCCGGTAGACACTGTTACTTCTCTGGCGGAAGAAGTCGACGCTCCAGTGAGCGCGGTGATACCTCCCTCGGGGGGAGAGGTTCCTCCTGTGGACATGGTGGCTTCTCCTGTGGACGTAGTGATTGCCCCCTCCAAGGAAGTGGTTGCTCCAGTGGATGAGGCGATCTCTGCTGCAGAGATTCCTGTGACTCCCTTGAAGGCTAGGTCTTCCAAGGATAGGAAGAGGAGAAGAAGTTCAAATGAGCTGCAATTATGCTCCAAGCTCTTGGACACTCCTAGTAAGAATTTGAACAGCCAATATGACAACGAAACCCGTCCAGGAAGTTTGAAAAAGTCCGCAAGCACTGTGGGCAGGGCGTCAAGCGACAACACTGGCATCAAGGTCTTCCAGCGTCGCAAGGTTAAGTTCAAAGCTATTAGGGCTCGCGTTACCGAGGCGAGAGCAGGTGGGGCAAATGCGGGCTCCAACAGTGGAGTTCAGGAGTCTTCTACTGTGATTCAGATTTGTGACGATCTGTGTCAATGTGAGAATTGTGAATCATATGATAGTGTTGTGCGAGAATCATTTGCCCTCCAGCCAACTGTGGACATTCTTGCGGCACGGTCAAGTATGGACATGGCCAGGTCGGATGGCCACGCTATGCAGAGTTCTGCGATTGAAATATCACAATCATCTAGCGTCGTCCGTATGTATCATCCAGAGAATACAAGCCCCACTGAATCAAATGACGTGACGCTGGAGAAGTTATCACACCTAGATCCTTCTGTGCAGGGCTTACCAACCCCTAGTACATCTTGTAACTCTTCTCAAGTATGCATCCTCGATCCATCCACTCGGGAGATTGCAATTCAAGGCATCAATGACGTCATTGATGCCGCGTCAAAACACCTTGGTGGCGAGATCGCACAAGAATTGCCCTCCGACATTGAGGGCGAGGAAACCCTAGACTCTTGTCTCTCCTGTAACTCTGAACATTCACTAGCTGGTAGAGATGACCAGTCTGTCCTCGCTCCTGATGTGGGTCTAGTTCTACGTGCACCTAACGTGCTAATGGAAGACGCTGTAATAGCACCTGTAGATAATTCTTTGGTGGCTCCTAGGAAAGAGAACTCTTCTCTGGAGAGCTCGGAGATCTCTGCCGACATTAGGATCGCATCATGTCATTCGGAACCTCCCACTGGCAACTCTCAATTTGCCGCAGTGAATTTCGCATCAACTGTTACTCCAACGGAACTTGAAATGACAGAGGGCCGAATTGATGCCCTGCTAGATTCTTTAGCGACACCAGATGATTTACTGCCGAATCACCTCTCTGGTACAGCCCTAGGAGTCTCGAAGACCTCGAAGAAAAAGAAAAGAAAGAGAAGAAGTTTTACGGAAGATATGGCTCTCGATATGCTGGTAGGTATGGATGATACAATGTACGTTCTTAATGTGCCCGACTTTTCCCCGAAGCACCAGGAGGTCTTGAATGCACCATTTCCTTTGAGTGTTCCGCAGTCAGGCCTGGACTTTGTCCCAAGCTCCACAAAGGACCTCGTGGGGAAATACTTATTGTCTCGCATTACTACCCGCAGTGAGACGTGTGTATCAGACACTTTCAACGAAGTCAACCTCACTCCCCAGCCCCATGGTCTTGCCCCTGAAGCAAAATTGGGCTCACATTCTGGCGATGAAGACGCTCTTAGGGTCCAGGAAAATATCCTCCCTACTGCTGAAGAGAATCGCTCTAGTGAGAGTAATAGCCCCAAGGCAGACAGTCTGGCGGATGTATCAGAGTCACCAACCAAGTCTTCCTGCCCCAAAGAAGTTTCTGGGGTTGTTCTCGAAGGAGATGCCAATGATGCCAGTGATACTGTTTCGACTCCCAAAGGAGTTTTGTTTAGCAACTTGAAGACCGACAGTCTCAGCAAGCGAAATCGAAAGGTGAGAAGCCCGAGTCACTTATACTATCACTTGTCGGATTCGTGACTTACATTGTGCCTCTCAAAAAGTGTTTGCTTACTGAAGTGGTAGGAAATTCTTCTTCATGGGATGAATGTTTTCAATAGAAGTTAAAAAGGGAGAATGTGAAGAGCGTCTGGATGCTGGAAGTCGTCTGATTCCGACACGTTTTCTGTGGAACCTGAACCTCATGGATGCTTTCGGCTTGACAGACCTTCTCTCCTAATTCTCGGCTGAAACTCATCGAAGCTAGTCGACCTGACTCAGCAAGGAAGTCCTCTATTCAGCTGAAGATTAAAAAGATGAAGTCTAGTAAGTCAATATGTTCAGCATTCCTTTGAGGTGATTTGGAAATCTCTGATTATGGAAAGCAGGTTAATATCCGTGACGGGATTACACTGGCTGTCTCACCCTTATAACATGTAGAAGTGCCTTGTTCGATGGTGTAGATTTAAGCGAGGCATGTCCAAGCAAGACGGTATGTCGGAAAATAGACTTGAGCGAGAATTGTACGCCTCAAGTTCTAAGCCCATCCAATGATGACATCCCTGCTTCAAATGAAGTTCAGGAAGTGATGCGCTGCGGTGTGGAGCACATTGAGCAAGACACTATATCCGTGCAGCATACCTCCTCTTTGCCTCCAGTAACTACTGAGGTTGACTCAAGTACGTTGAGTCCTGCTTCTACTGAACCTTCGTCCGGCACTGTAACTCGCATTGTGGCAGGTTCTCCTGAACATAAGAAGCCCTCCGCACGGAGGCACAGCCCCAATGCTGATTGTACTGGTAGTGAATCTATCAGCAATCTTCCCCTTCCGCAAGGATCATTGCCCGTCGGAGTAGGTAGCCAGACTGAACTACCAGTTGGGCCCTGTACCCTGATAGAGAAATCGAAAACCTCACAACGACCGAGAAGTATACTGAAGACTGGTGAGGAGTCCCGCACTTGCCGCGGGATATGCAAATGCCCAAGATGCATTTCCACTCGTGACCAGTCGGTTGCTGCAAGGGAGTTCATTACCTCTCAGATGAAACTGGCGGAGAACATTACTACCAGGTTAATTCAGGAGATGCGAAGCATGCGCTCCGTGGTTGAAGGCAATCTGAATTCTCCGTCGGAACCAGGAACATCCACCGCATACGATACCGTTTCAGACAAGGTATATGAATGGATCCCTATGTCGTGATACGATAATTGACACTTGATGTAGTTATAGATCATCCAATGTACCATGATTAACACCATGCCAATTATGGTTGCCCTCACAGTCGAAGGGAGCTCTAGACCGCGCGGTCAAAATGGAGGATTGGGCCATTGCTCAGATCCTAAAATTGAGTCGTGACAGCAAGCGCGTTTGTCGCCTCATTGTAAGTACAAATTCAACGACGCAACTCTGGATCAAGCTTAAAAATTTACATAGATACATGGGTCATCTGTTGATCTAACCCTTGAATATCCAAACTGTGTTTTAGTTCACTATTCTCAAGAAGAATTGCGTGTTACTTGATGAAATCCAGTCCTGAACATCGACATGTTCATGCCCTTTCTCCGCAGGAAACAGGACCGCGAAGGACAATCTTCGCCGATGCAGCGGGAAGCGACCTCGAACATGTCCGACTTTTCCCATCAAAGAAAACTCCCCCTGGAAAGAAAATCGCTAGTGTACTATGATGCTACAAAACACAGCGCAGCATTCATTCTACAGATTTATTTGAGTCGTTTCAATGTCCAATTGACTCACCCGAGTGCTGCGCCTCGGAACTTGTATTCTAAACACTCTGATTATGAACCTCATTAATTGGACCTTTTTCTTTTCCCTTATATTTTCTGTTCTCTACGACCCATTTTATATATCTTCACAACACTCTAAGTTGCAGTATCTTCTGCATAATGTGGAATCTATGTATGTTTTTCAGAGTGGTCTAATGACAGCCTTGTGTAGACACAGTCCTGCTGAGGTTTTTACACAGCTTGTGCATTTTTGCAATGTCAGTTTCACGTGTATATGACTCTCAACATGTGGGACCTTAAACTGTGGTTTGAAACAGCTTATCGCAAGTAAACAAAATATGACAGTAGACAACATATTTGCACCTTTCTTTATTAGTGGCAGCGAGTAGAGTGAGAACTGAACTGCAAAAAAAAGTTTGAATTGGGTTTGTTAAAACACCTATACCGCTCTGATGCAATTGTAAAATATAAAGCCTTCTAAGTTGGATTTTGAGTGAAGCGAAACATTTACTGGGGTTTTATAGTTCTGAAACTCCAGTAACTCAATATTAGTGGTTGTGATCATGGAATTGTTCAATTGTCATGCTTGAGTACTTCCGTTTCAAGTTTGAATTCAAACTCACTGTTTGTCTATGTGGAACGGAATGTACAGAATATGCAATTTTATTCGTCCGTAAAATTAAACAGAGGATTTTACCCAAATTAATTTCTAATTTTTCTTACTGAGTAGAGAACTAACAAACATGGTTGTACAGTATTGAAGAAAGATAAAATAACATGCTGAATTCCAGACGTGAATAAGTTTGTACACGCATATTACATTCACCTTCTCTCTTATTTTTTCCTTCTTAAAAGCGGGTATAAATTCTCAGCTTCACATATCAATGTACGGAAAAGAATCAAAATGAAAATTTGAAGTCATACTTGAGTGCCCAAGATAATTAAACCAGAAAATATGTCGATGCAAGTGATAACATTACACAACACAAATTAAATTAAAAAATTAAAAAAATAATTGTGATTTTTTACATTCTCGACACAAGTTTTTTTTTTTTTTTTTTTTTTTTTTTTTTTTTCTATTTTTCATGTTCTTTTTCAAGTTGCAAGTGCAGGCCTACACGGCGACCAGATCCTCCGGCGCGGTGATCGAAGACCGCCCATCGTATCGCTCCTCCCAAAACCCTAGCCATGACGATTGTGAAGTCTCTTCGCAGCACGATTTGTGTGCACTCTCTCGCGCCGGACCGCCATCCCTCGCCCTCGTGCGGGTTCTTACTCCGCCTCGCCACGATGGTACGTCACCTGTGTCTCCTCATTTGAATTTTTCTATAACGTGTTTCAATTCTGGCGTCTAACTGTCCAGAAAAATAGGTTTTAGTGTTATAACTTCTTAGGTTTGGTTATATGCCCGTGTGTGAAACATCGAAAATGATACGGTTTGGGAGTGACCATCTTTCGATATTTTTTCTAGTTATTTCTGGTAGATGGTGTATGTTTTAGGGTTTTCTTCTGTTCACTCATTGAGAAGAAGAAATTTCTAGGTGTTGCACCTTGGAGAGTTTGTCTTGTATAGTGGTAGTGATGTATGGATGCTCTGAGCGAGTACTGTATTTTTCGTTTATGGCAATGCTGATGTATTCTTGGTACATGATCAGCAGTATAGTCCAGGAATTGAGTTGGACACTTGGAAGGATGTTTTTCGTTTACGTCATTGTTCGCTTCATTTTTGTGGTCGGTTTATCGACTGGATTTTGGCCTGTCATGGTCTCCTGTATTCATCTTTCCAATCTCTGGCAGGCTCGCGGTTTGAAGAAGCATTTGAAGAGGCTCAATGCGCCCAGGCACTGGATGCTTGACAAGTTGGGTGGTGCCTTTGTAAGTTTTACATCTTGCTTTTATACTCAACGTTCAATCGTCATGCTAGTACGCATTTCTCTGACTATCTCAGGGATTCGAATGTCAGTCTCAGCGAATTGCTCACATTCTTGAATAGAACGATTTTCAAGTATTCTAGAATAGAACGTGGTCATAGTGAGTATTCTAATGCGTTCATATCATTATGTCTAGCGCCTTGCGATTTGGATGCTGGTGCTTCTCTTTCTTTCTTCTTCCTTTTTTTTTTTTTTTTTTTTTTTTTTTTTTTTTTTTTTTTTTTTTTTGCATTGTTATGAAGAATATGTGCACCAAAAAACTATCGAACACTAGATGTCCAGCGAAACATTGCAATGCCTAGTTTTTGGATCTAATTTTTATGTTAAATAATTAAGTTGGATGTGTTGTTTGGTTATATTATCAGGCCCCCAAGCCATCTCCTGGACCACACAAGGAGAGAGAATGCTTGCCTCTGGTGGTTATGCTGAGGAATAGGCTGAAGTATGCGTTGACCTACCGTGAAGTTGTTGCTATTGTCATGCAACGCCTTATTTCCATTGATGGCAAGGTCCGTACTGACAAGTGCTACCCAGCAGGGTTCATGGGTGAGTAAACCAGCGGCGCAAAAATGCCCACGTTTTTAGCTTGTTATCAATGTCTCGTGAATGATATAGTAAGTATTGGCTTTTCAAAGAGTTTTTTTCGGATATAGGTCATGTCCTGTAGTGTACTGCTGTCTCCCTTCGGCTCCTGAGTACTCTCATCTCATCCTTTGCTAGATGTGATATCCATTGCCAAGACGAACGAGAACTTCCGGTTGTTGTATGACAACAAAGGTCGTTTCACCCTGCACAACATCAGCGCCGAAGAAGCCAAGGTACGTATTTTTACAAGGTCAACCGTTGTGGTTGAACTGCCTGTAGCTGTAATTTGCTAGGTGAGGGATGCTGTTAAGCTGTGCCGGGTTAGTATCAGGTGATCTGTCAGGTGATCGTCTCAAACTTTAAAGAAAAAAATTCTTGTACTTTCTGAACAGTTTTGATCCTTTTGCAGTACAAGCTGTGCAAGGTCAGGTCTGCTCAGTTTGGAGACAAGGGCGTACCACACATTACCACTTTCGATGGCCGGACCATTAGGTATGGAAGTATCAAATTGATTCTTTATCATGCAAATTAGCTCCACTTATTATTTACAGAATCTCTCTCTGGTTGGTCTTCAAAAATTCCATAGGCTTGCATTCGACCTCTCTTGACACCATTGTTTTGCATGTAAGGTACCCGGACCCCCTTATCAAGGCCAACGATACTGTCAAGATCAATCTTGAGACTGGAAAGGTTGTTGAGTTCATCAAGTTCGATATTGGCAACATTGTTATGGTGACTGGAGGGCGTAACAGAGGGCGTATTGGTGTGATTCAACATCGTGAGAAGCACAAAGGAAGTTTTGACATCATCCACGTAACTGATGCAACTGGACAGCAGTTTGCCACCCGCATGGGGAATGTGTTCACTGTTGGTCAGGGCACCAAGCCCTGGATCACCCTACCTCGTGGCAAGGGTATCAAGCTTTCAATTGTGGAGGAGGCTAAGAAGCGAGGTCAAGCTCTCAAGGCTGCTGCCTAAATGTAGTTTGAGTTTCACTGTGACTAGTGTTATCATCTCATAGCGGAGCTATGTGTATGGTCATTGGTAAGAAAGTCATATTTTTTATTCTTCAGAATTTTCCCTACTGACCTTCTGTCTTCGCGCATTGTTCATTTTTGATTAATTGGCAAAACAATGTCTTATTTCGTCGCATATTCCACCAGAGTTTATTTGGGGAAACTCCTCTACGGTTTACAAAAACGGCTTTTTTCGAAATGAGCTTGTTTTGCAATTATCTTAGGTTGTCATCCAAAAGCACTTCTAAATTCGAAAGTGAAAAAGACAATAGTTTGAAATCATTTTCTAAAGTATCTTTTTGAGATCAAGGAGCACAAGTGTGGCTTTTATCTCTTTCAGTCCAAGTAGCACAAGTTTTTGCGATTATCTACATGAATGAGAATAGAGCCCATGAAAGAAACACAAACAATGGATGAAGGATTACTGATAAATGGATGGCTTTCTTGAGACAATTTTACTTCTAACTTGGAATGTCCTATTGTTTTTGTCAAGCCCCAAATGTTTAGTATGGACTCTTTTACAATACATTGCTTGAATGTTTTACAGAGCAATATGTAACGTGCATTTTTGTTGTTTTTTAAAATTTATTCTTTTGCAGGATCAAAGTTTTGCTAATTTGGTTTAAATTTGACTGGAATGCATGGTCCATCTTCAATGTCTTCTTTTTGTGTAGTGTAGTATTTCAAAAAAATTCTGACATCGATTCCTATCGTAGTTTTTATAAGATTTTTAGATTCTTAATTAACTATTGTATAACTAAGTGCATGTAGTTCTATCTTAAGATTAGATTTAATAGAATTAAACAGAATCTATTTTATAGTTTTTTGGATGAGAGAATTTGGTAACACCAATTTAAAAAAAAAGAATATAGGATCAAAAAGAACAATGATGGTGTTGCTAACGAAATTTATGTTCTTGTACTACTTTATGAATTTTGATTAAATTATACATTTGAAATTTATAGTTCTTAAAAAATACATGCTTTTAGTTTCTAAAATAATAGGTTTTAAGATAGATTTTTAATAATCTTATAATAAGAATTGTAGAAATTATACTTGATGATGTAGATTACATTCAAATTAGTTTTTTTTTTTACTATCTCTAAATATAATTATTTCATGATGAAAAATATATAAATATAAATAAAATATTCTAATGTATTTATTTTGAGCAAATTTGGATTATAATAGCCATAGAAGATATTTCCATTTTATTTTTTATAGATTAATTTTTAATTTTATAAAATAATAGAAATTTAAAATTACTATGGTGGAATAAGTATTGTGCTAGAATGTAATCTATATGTTATAGACATACAATAGAAGCAAATTCTTGAAGATTCTATTTGGCCTTAGAAGGTTCTTGATGATTTCAAAAAATTCCTAATAGATTCTAGTAGATTCTAAGAAGCTTCCGAAAGGTCCTAGGAGGTCTCAAAGAATCTTGAGAATTATCATCAACTATTTGAGCAATATTTAAGATGTACCATTAATTAACATCAAGATGATTGAAATATTCATTTGTCATTGATAAATATTGCCTATAATAATACAATACACTCTTCTACTCAACAAACACCTTTTTATTTCAATTATGATTATCATCCACAACTTAATACTTTTGACTATTCAAAAGTTGATAATCCTATGTCAAAAGATTTGGCAAATTGTTTATTACACCTACACACAATAATAAAGGCACAATTAAAAGAAACTCAAGACTGACAAAAAATTAATACAGATGCCTATTGTAATAAATAACATCAATTCTATATAGACAACAATGTATAATTACTTTATTGTAATATCAAGACTATTTGTTATAATAACAAGTTGGAATATTACAGACTTGAATCATTTTTTATTTTTAAATAATTCAATCCAATGGCTTATTGATTGAACCTATAAGAATCTATTAAGATCTTTCTTGCATTTTACATGTCTCTTAAATGGATATGCCAAAAAAGAAATAAATGCCACCTTATTCTATAAAAGTAGATAATAATTTAAAAAAATTAAGGTTGAATTTTTTTTAAATTCAAAGTAATTCTAAAATTGATTAGAATATCTTATATATTGGTGCAAAAATGATATTAGTGAATGCTTATGGAAACCAACAAAGAATCTTACAAATGAAACAAAAGATGTTGATTTTTTTATATTAAGAAAATCCATCCAAACCAATTTGAAGAATCAAGCAATTATTTGTTATAAAAGAAATAAGTTCAATAAAGATTGCATTCTAACATCTATCATTGTTTGTAATTTCTATGTATTTATAGTACTAATGAAATAGAGAATCAATAACCAACAAATTCACAACATGAATTATTTTTTGCTAAGTTACCGAATAATGCATTAAGATTGTTACAGCCTTTACAACCATGTAATAATAATGAAGATCTTTAAGAAAAATATTTTCTTTCTCAAATAGATGGTAAGATATAACATGTTTGGTATTACAACCTTGAAAGAGACTATTTATATCAAATGATATTATTGGAGATAAAAACCACTTCTTGTAGTACTTCAAAAGTTTTAATTAAAGAAAGTTACAAAAGCGTTGACAATAATCAAATATCAGAGACATCTTTCTCCCCCTAGTATACGATACTATCAATGGCTGAGATGACCTATCAACTATCTTAAAGAAAAAACAAAGATCAAAATATGTGGAAAATAATATTTGTTGCATCTTGCTTTTTCTCAATATGTAATTATTGCTCATTGTAGAACTTGTATCTAAAAGGAGGGATAATATCATGAATATACATATTTATTTAGATTAAAAGAATTAAATAAAAATAAATAGAAGTAAATAAATTTAATAATGTATTGTGAACAAGTTTCTTATAAGCTTTATAGATACAAATTTGACTTTATGCATGTTTATTGGTAATTAATGGGTTGAAAACTTGGCTAATAAGTTAGCCACATGTTGCACATATTCATGACTTGTGGTGTACATTAGTCACGTGGCGCACATGTAAGAAACTTGTTTTGTAAATTACATATGAGTCCTCCAAATTGGACACATCTTAGAGATCCTATAGAATATTGCCACATAGCTTCTAATTAGATAGTATATATGGAGGTAAGAATGAAGCCTTTTTCATTCTTATCAATACCTTTCTTATTTTAGTCTTATTTCAAAGATTTTGACTTTTTATATTTGAAAATAGCTATTATAGTCTTAATATTATAACATCTTTAAATGAATATCTATACTTTTTGAATGACACAAGAGTATATGATGTTTTGGATCTTTGTAATTTATATCCTTGGCAACTAATATAATTAGATATAAATAGTTAAGATAACAATAATATGTCAATTAGTCCATCTCAACCAAACATTTTACATTGTGAATCTTAAAAAGAAGAAAAACTTGAACCAAATAGGAGTTAAAGAATACCTAGCATGTGCTTTGTAGCAATGGTCATTGAAGTAGAACTTGTCCATAAAGGACATCTTGAAGCAATTTTTGAAGAATAATTTTACAACCAAGACACAAAAATTCAAATTTGGTCTATTTTAAAAAATATTAATTACTATTATTACTTATAAGGACCAATGAATCTTTTGAATGATAAAAAATGCAACTTCAATATGTGGTAACACATCTTTGACTTCTTTTGCTTTTAATCAACTTTGACTCTATCCCCCTTATAGAACTCAAAGACAAAAGAAGTTATGATGTTATGAACATACAATAGAAGAAGATTCTAAGAAGTTTTAAAGAATATATTAGACTCTAGAAGGTTCTAAAAGATTTGCAATGGTTCTAGAAAGTCCCTAATAGATTCTAATAGATTCAAAGAAGCTTGCAAAATGTCCTCAAAGGTTCCAATGGATCTAAGATGAATATAGAAGATTTTTGGAAGCTTACTTAATTTCTATGCATCAAAAAAACTTCTCAAGGAGTTTCTTTGTATCTAATATATATATATATATATATATATATATAGTTATTGAGATCCTTAATTTAAACAATATAATCCTTATAGCTTAACTTGATCTTTTTAGTCTTCTTTTTGTGCCTTGTTTTAGCTCTTTGTTTGTGATATAAAGTAAATTTCTTGTGTTTTATTTCCTTAAACTCTTGAAATCTTATCCTACTTGAATGGTATATCCATAACATTAAGTCCATTAGAATTGCTATTATTTAACTTAGAGCTAAAGGTTGGATATTCAATTATGTTGTTGCATAATATTTCAAACTTTGCATCTAAGGCTTTACAATGGATCATACATGGTCATTATAGATCTCACTAATTGAGTTATAGAGACAAGACTATTAGGTAGAGATTATAAGGAATAATTAATTTTTCTTCTACCAATCTTATTATGCCCATCATATACACAAGTTTTGTTTTAGTTCAAGCAAAGGTAATTTTCAATAAAGATAGCATTTATAATAGCAATAAACAAATTTTAAAGACAATCATTGAAGAATATAAAAATAAATCTTAAAATCTCTATATTTATACAACAAAAATTATATGTTACATTTTAAAATTATATATTGCATTTTTGTGATACAATTCTCTAAATACAATAAAGATCCTTTATTATCAAGAAAGTAAAGACAAGATACCAATGTAAATATAATTTATTCTAATTTTTTTTACCTTAATTATTTTAGTTGTTGTCATATGTATATATATATATATATATATATATATATATTTATCAAGACATTGAAGAAATATAAATGATGCTCTCGTTATGAGTATTTTATTTTATTTTATTTTCATTTTCTTAGGTTTGATGTTTCTTTAGGAGTTATCAATTTGTAACTTAGTAACCTCAAATTAAAAAATTTACAACCTATTTGTATCCAACAACATTAGTTTTTGTTAGTGCCTTGGTGAAGTTTCTATCCATTAGTCATGTTCTAGAGGTGATTTAACCAAAGCAACAAGAAAAGGCCTCCATGTTATATATAGTTGGTCTCTAGTTAGTTGGCCTATATTATGTTTAGTATGATTGTGGTATTTCATATTTATTTTTTATTTAATTAATAATATAATTTAATAGAAAAATCATATATCCCTTATGTTTCAAATGAACAAATATACATTTCACTTTTAAATGATGGTTGTCTTTACTTAAGCAATGTGAAAATATATTACACATGTGTATTATTAACACATGACTTAGTAACCACAAATTAAAATAGTTACATCCTTTCAATGTCCAACCAACTGCACTGCTTTGTACTGTAATAAATAAATAAATTTATTTATTTATTACCGTTGGAATATTACAGCACCGCATATTGTGACTGAATGAAGGAATGAAGGTGCGCGGCAATATTAGTGGTCGGCGGTAATCCTCGAAGAAGATTCATGTGAAAGCGGTGGCAACTTCGATAAAAAGTTCAATGCTGATTCACTGGGTAATGAATGAATGATTGAATGAGCAGGTTGCATCGTCAAATGACCAGCTCCCAGAGATATAGCTCGGGACAAAGATCAGAATGCGGAAAATGCTGAAGAATATGCTGAGTTTTAGGGCGTGAAAGATGAACGAGAATTCAGAATGATTGGTACTGGCATATAACGTTTACTTGGACTGACAGCGGCAGAAAGAAACCCAGATGAAACGGGGAAGAAATCGTTGTAAAAGTTTGATCGGCGTTGGTGGGTGTGAGGATGGCAGATCCTGGGCCACCTGTTTTCCAGATGGCTTCGTGAGACTGTTTGTGTGCGTGCCCTGCCGTGCGCTTTTTCTCCCTTATCCTGTTCAGCCACGCTCAACCACGCTTCATATTTCGTTACAAGACCCACAAGCCACACGCTGATTAATGTATATAAATGCGTTCGTGTCCTGACCCATGTTCTAGTTACATTTTAATTCTCTCAATTCCGCCCCAGTATTTAGTGTGCGAGCAAATTTGAATTGCGGGGGTCCTGAAGTCTGTTGTAAAGTTGCAAGGAGCGATGGTGACGATGACAATGACAGGGGCTGCCTTGGGAGGGTGCACGGCGAAAATTACTGCGCAGAGCAGCTTCTGGGGCGAAAGGCAGCGCTCTGTCAAGGTCTCCGCCACCACGAGGTGTGAGTCTGTTACAATTTTGGAGCATCTCCCCATTTCATTGTCTTCTTCAATTTTGAGAGGTGTTCCGTTGCCTCGTGCCATAGTGTTTTTGGCTCAATCGCTTCCGTAGATGTTATCTATGGCCTCTCCGGATCGCTCTAGTGAAACATCTCGTATGAAGTTGTGCTTTGTAGTTTTTCGTAGCAAATATATATGCATTTGTACTATTGAGCTTTTTTTGAGATTGCGACATCTCAGCTCCGACAGTTTGCTTGTGCGTATGTTATTTAGTTTGTGTCTTTATCTTGATGTCTCACTTGTGTAGTGTGACCCAAACTGAGATGCTGATGGTTCGAATTTGTTCTGATATATTTCTTTTTTTCCCCATGAGTGCAGTGGAAGGGCGGCGATGCCAGCAATTGAGGCAACTCACCGTGTTGATAAGTTCTCAAAGAATGACATCATCGTTTCGCCCTCTATCCTATCAGCTAACTTCGCCAAGTTGGGAGAGCAGGTACAGTAGCCTAGTTTGCAAGTCATTTGAATCTTACGTCTTCGCTATTCTCATGCTTCTTGTTTTTGATCATATCACATTCTAGGGATAGAGAACCCTGCTGCCGAAATTTTGCTTGGGGCCAACAAACAGTCATCAATTCTATCCTGACATTTGGGAGTCTCTCTGCTGTCCCAGCTCTGAAACATCGGCATAATGCTGAATTCATGAACCAGTCGTAGAATGGGAAGCCTTTTTGATACTCATGTACAGATTGTCCTCCACACAACCTTGTCTATCAGTTTTTTCTTTTTTTTTTCTTTTATTTATTTATTTATCTTTTTCTGGACCGTTTGTGTTTCAGTCATGCTCAAACTTTTTCTGGAAGAAGACTTCAATCTTGGATCAACCTGTTCAGTAATTTTGAGAGCAAAGCATGCTGTGTTACTCCCTAACCTATCTGAATGAGTAATTGATTGACTTTTTATTCACTAGTATATGCGATTGTTCTTTGACAGATCAAGGCTGTGGAAAACGCCGGATGCGACTGGATCCACGTTGACGTGATGGACGGGCGCTTCGTACCCAACATCACAATTGGCCCTCTTGTTGTGGACGCTATTCGTCCCGTCACCGACTTACCTCTTGACGTCCACCTGGTCAGTAGCATTAATTGCTGTCCTGGAAACTCAATATGAATTATTCATCATACTTGGTTATAATATTCTACTTTCTGGACTAAATTTATAACGGTTGCTGCTAAAATTCGGTCTTATTCTGAAACTCCGACGCGATACAGTTAATCATGTTCCCATTCCGGGATTTGCAGGATTAGGTAGCTAGTTGAAACACACTCTTGTCTATTGCTTAAGTGTGTTTGACTGGTTGAATGATTTGATTGCTTTTCCCTCTTCATCGGCTAGGTTAGTAAACCATTGGACAACGATAGCTATGGAATGATGCGTGACTGTTTCACTGATGCTGTTCGTGTGCTTCAGATGATTGTTGAACCGGAGCAGCGTGTCCCAGACTTCATCAAGGCTGGTGCTGACATAGTTTCCGTGCACTGCGAGAACGCTTCAACTATTCACTTGCATCGCACCATCAACCAGGTTAAGATTTACTTAACTTGGATTTTTTTTTTCGTCTGATGATTGTCTGTATGTGTGTGTGCGCGCGCCCGCGCTAAGTAGAGATGCTGAAAATCATTTTTCCGGGCTGTCTCTTCATTTCACGGCATCTTTTTATGACCATAAGAATGTGATGTTTTAATGATTGGGATTATATCATTCGTACAGATCAAAAGTTTGGGAGCTAAGGCCGGAGTGGTGCTGAACCCTGGAACATCTCTGTCTCAAATTGAATACGTTCTAGATTGTAAGCAACTCCGATCACAACCTTGTCACAGTATAAGAGTCGCTTCTGATCAATTCACTGACTCCATAGTTCAGACTCATTATTTTTCTGGTTCTGATAAATTGGGACGCGAATGAGCAGGTGTGGATTTGATCTTGATCATGTCTGTCAACCCTGGATTTGGTGGACAGAGCTTCATCGAAACCCAAGTAAAGAAGATCGCCGACCTCAGGAAGTTGTGCGCTGAGAAGGTAAATGTAGTGCACTAATTTGACGGTAGCTCACAGAAGCTCTCACGTTTCTTTCACAGTTGTGAGTAGAACAGTCACTTGACACAATGTGATGGTTCGTGGTGTGATTCAGGGTGTGAACCCATGGATCGAGGTGGACGGTGGCGTTACCCCAAAGAATGCTTACAAGGTAATTTACTTGCTCATGGTTTCACTCAGCACTTCTCCAGTTCATCTTCTGCTCCAGATTTTCGTGTATTTTGTTTTTTCATTACTTGGTTCTTTCTCAACGGATTTATATAAGGACGCAGATTTCGATTGTATAATTACTTTTTGACCCTTCCCTTCAGGTTATTGAGGCTGGAGCCAACGCCCTGGTAGCGGGATCCGCAGTCTTTGGAGCTAAGGACTACGCTGAGGGTACGTAGCCACTGCAAATTCAGTTTTAACTAGATTCTTATTTCTCTACTGCACAATTGCACACCTTTCTGGTGATGCAGTTATCAAAGCAACTAACGAAACATTGCGTTGTTGCCAACTCTACAGCTATTAGCGGAATCAAGGCGAGCAAGAGGCCCCAGGAGGCTCCCGTGGCAGCTTAAATTGAATCAATCAAGTCGGCAACGCGTCTTAACATGAACAGGAGGTTTAGTTTTTTGTACTGGCAGATTCCCGCGCTAGGATGAATTGGCCGACCTGGAGTTTTGTACCATTTAGATTCTGCAGCCAAGGTCTAGACACCGTTGGCTTGTTGAGGGAATTCGGTGTAAGATTATTGTCTCTCCTAATATAGATCAATCTCTTTCTCTCTCTCCTCTCCCAGCTAAATCTGTAACTTTTCCATTCTTAATCATTTGATTTTTCAACGTGAGAGTTTTCCAGTGCTGCTGCATTCGTTTTGTATGATACATGTGACTTTCTTTGACCCACTTTTGTTTTGGCCTATCTCATAGCTGATGTTGTGTGAATTGAACATGTTGAAGCTTCAGTTTGTTTGCTTTCGAATGGGAAACTGGCCGTTCAGGTAAGCTTTACAGAATGAACGACTCTCCTTATTTGCTTATGTTAGCTAATTAGATAAAAAAACGCTGGAGGATTAGCGTCCATAGATTGGTGAAGTATGAATCAAAATACCAACAATATTTTTCGGCTTGGCATGCTTCTTCTCACATTTACGAATTTATGTCAGAGCCGATCACAACTCTTTGTCAGAACAACTCCCATTTTAGAAACATTTGATGAATGTCATCCTGACCTTGACCTTGACCTCAGGGGAGTGCGTAGTGGCATATTCCTCTTATAGAATGTCAAATGTATACTTCCAAATGAAGGACTAAATGTGATCTTTCATTATCCACATATTTGTTGAACATACACCGGCAAAATATGGTTATCACATAAAACGTAAAATCATCCAGATATGGCTAGAAAGAAAATGCCCTCGTATTCACAACACTGAACATTTGTTTGAAATGGGTATCCAATTTAAGAATTTGGCATAATCACATGTTTCAGTGCCCTCAGCCATCAGTATGAAAATACAAACCTCTTCATACAACCTGTTACTTCTAATTGTGAAGAGTGGTTTTTTCACTCACAATGCAATGTGTAAAACAACACTAAGTTAATTACTTAATAAACACGTATGAAGTAAAATATAATTAAAATAACAGTAAATGCAAAATCGTTTTAAAGATGACTCGCTGGTATTTGTGCCAAATATGAATGGGAATATCGCTTTAAATGGATTCGATAATTAAAAGTAAATGAAATTTATTAGATGAAATATAAACCAAAATTCAAACCAAATTTCCTTTTGAAGTGTACAAAAACATAGTAATTTGACAATATGAAAAATATAATGATAATAATTAATTAGTTTTAAAAATTAAAAAATTAAAAATGCGAGAAAAAAAATACTGGATTAGAAAGAAGACAAGATACAGACAAGGAACAAAAAAATAGCACATAACAGACAGAAAAACCAATTGGAGTGCTAAACAAATAAGACACAAATATATTTAAATTAAAAAAACATAAATTAATTCTTGAAATAAATAGCACTAACGACCTCTGCAGGCATATTTTTAACAAATTACTTCTTATAACTAAAACTTTAAAATGTTAATGCAAAGGAGTATTAAAATAATGTGGGCTAACATTGTAACATATTGTACACCTGCAGTACTCAAAGTTTGGAATCTAGATTTTTAATAATTCATGAAACAGTAAGGTTTAGTTTTAGCATATTGATGGATTTAAATCACAATTAGACGGATGATTATTATTAACATTAATTTATTCCTAACACCTTTGCAAGAGAGGCATCTCTGAGGATTAAAAACCAGTGATTTTCTGAGGGACATAGCTTGAAGATCTGTTACAAAACCAGAATACAATCGCTCGGCAGGAGCAACTCCAACGAGATGGGCAGAGCCACAAACAGAAACCTGCTCAAAAATAGAAGCGCAGACGAATAACCAATCCGTGTTGCCACTGTGTGCACAACAATACACTAGCAAACTAAAAGCACTCTACTGTTGAATGTATGCGCACCACTAATTCAACGAAAAAATGAGACAAATGAATAAGGCAAGTGTCATCATTCGCTTTCCTCATCATCGCTATCACCAAATAATGACTTCTTTAGTGCACTAGATCTATTCGTGTTTTTCCAATCTGGAAGAGACAAGAACGGTTGCTGGGAAGAATTAGCCTTGTCAGTAAGTCCCGAATCAGCAGCTGATTCTGATTCAATCGGAGGCTCTGTGGACAAGTCATTGAAGTCATCAAATAGCCGCTGTCGAACCATACTGTTACTAGAAACCAACTTGGGCCCACAAAGTGGAGAGCTTGGATTTGTACTAAGTTTTGCAGCTCCGTTTCTAGGTGTGCCTGGAACTTCCTTCGACGGAAAAGAACTAGTGTTTTCATTGATATCATCATCATTATCGTCATCATCGAACAGACTACCTTGAAATGAAATCGAACGTTGTGGTATCCGCCCAGGTGGCACTTTTGATGCCTGTAATCTTGAAGTCGTCTCCCCCTTGTTCTTGCTGATGATACCTCTATTATCCTTCAGGTTAGGCTTCATTGGTGAAAACCTACTTGGAATAGAAGTTTTAGGAGAAAGTGTTTTTCTACCCTCATCTGCAGCTTCTGGCGTCGGTGGAGCTTCTTTAATCGCGGGATCTTCGCTTCTTTGCATTGACTGCGACCTCGATTGCCGAGCTTGAATCGCTGCTCTCAACCCTTGAAATAAACTGTCTGGAAGAGTTGGCATTGGAAGGTCGTCAGCAAATGCTGGAGGCCCAGACTGTGGAGCAGGTGAAGCAGATTGGGGCTTATTTTCTTCCGTGCGTAAGTTAAGCGGGAGGCTGGACCTAGTGATATTCTGGATCTTCAAAGTGCCGATTTTGTCGGTCCTTGGACTTATTCCATGAGTGGGGTCTCGATCTTTAGGAAATCCGTCAAATGGACCGTGTGCAGCTGGGGTATGACTCAGTTTCAAAGGCGAAAGGTTTTGTGGGCTCATAGAACCAGTAACATCGGCATTATCATTCCTGTCCAGTTGGGGTAGCACCTGGAAACAAAAACATCGTGTTCAAACCCTTCCTAGCTCTGCTAATTCAAAGGACTACCACAAAATACCATTCGAACAATCCAAAAACAACATGCAAATTTTGCTTAATACTATAATCACAGAAGAAAAAAGAAAAAGAAAGAAAAAGAAAGAAAGAAAAAAGGCACGAAGACGGTGCTTTAATTCCTCACAAAATTTGCAGCGACACACTAACCATTCATGCAATACATGTATCCGTGTTACAACAGTAGAACGTGCGTAGAGTACGTACTTTAAGCGGAGGAGGCCGTAGCAAAATTGTTCTGTTCACTTGTGCTGGAGCCTGTGAAGCTAACAGTTGATCCTGATGCTGTTCGTTGTACTCCGCAGATGTCTCTTCCTTCTTTGGGGATAAATCTCCGTCCAACTTAACCTCTCCTGGTTCAGATCTTGTCCTGCCAATAAACTTCACATTGTCTAGGTTAAGCAGAGCCTCCTGTGCCCGAAAACAGTTCTTTTCTTGCACGCAAATTAAAATCGCAATAACATTAAAATGGACAATAGAACAGTTTGAACAGCAACAGCCTTAAAAATTCAGCACTATTGCACAGGTTATGACTGAAAAACGTCTTACAATAAACAATTCCTTAACAAAGGGAAGCCAAACATTCCATAGAAATAGTTGTAGCACATAACCCACATCATAAGACAGCCAATGAGAGTCATTTATACCTAGGAGTATCGCTGTCTGTTTCTTGTGTTGAACTAATAATGTGTTGAACTAATGTTGAAGCGTTATCCACGTCGCTGTGCTGCTCATGCGCATTCTCCAGGTTTAGTATGATACCTCCATCATCTGATTGATTAAATTCACGTCAAAGATCACTCTGACATATATTGCTTCAAGTTTCGAGTTCCAAAGACAACTTAAAAGAGTTGGAAAAGTTCACTAACATCACGATAACTCTATTAAGGTTATTCATCATAGAAATGTATGTGGAACAAGAGAAACCATCGTTAAAAAAGTGTTACTAAATAAATAAAATGATCCCAACGATCAGATGGAAAGCTCAATGCAAGCAGTAACTGAAATTTCCTGAGCAAAACCAGAGTCTACGTACATGGGAATGATGGTCCGCGCAGAGCAGCTTCCAACATTGCCTTAAAATCCAGAGCAGCGGAGACTGCGGGCTCTAGAACACCTCCCTGATTATTGAAGGGTGCCTCATGTCAAAGTGTGATAACATGAACTTGCTTTGCAAAATAGACAACTCGTTTCTAGTAACTCCAACTGCAATCGATTGAGAATGGACCTGATGGCCTGATGTCTCGCTTTCAGATGCAGACCACTCCCCGTCCAACCAGGGGCGTCCACCCACCATTTCTTCAGCCAATTTAGCTTCATCTCTATCAGTGTCACTACCACTTTCAACAGCCTCTGAGCTTGGGGCTCTTGCATTCACCTCAGGGATTTTGAAATCTGTTAAAAGAGAAACTTCAGTACAGACTTTCAGGTGAGAGACATCAATAAGACAACAAGAGCCTGTCCGAGGACAATACGTCACTTCAAAGATGAAGAAGTGTCATTGCATTCTTCGTGCACTCTCGACAAAACACATGTTTGAAAATCTTCCCAAATCCAATCGACAGTTACAAATAGACGATACAGATCATAGAATGAATCTCTAGCTGAAATAGATGATAAAGTCGACGAACCATGCAATTGTTTAGTATCACACTATGAACTAGACATGAATAACAAAGAATAGTATGAACAAAAACTAGGCAAAAATATTTACCTGCAAGGCCACAATGGCTGTCCCTTGTGAATTCCTCCGTTCCAATAACGTGGGGTAGCTTCATTGATGGCCTATTTTGAACACCCTACAACCAGATAATTCAATTCAAATCGATTCGTTTCCAAACGTTCCTTTGTGTGCAAAACTGAGGAGCGACAAAAGAAAAAAATCCACCTTGCTTATAACCTAAAGTGGTTATTCATGATCTATTCGGTGCACTCAATTCAACCACATGCAAGATGCTAAACACCTGACTTATTGGTCTTGATTTCACATTCAAGGATTGCAGATCGATCTTGTTGGATCTAAACCCTTCAAATGCACCCCAAGCTGCCAAGACTGCTTCCTTGTAACGTGGTATTATCTGAGAGTCGTAGCCCTCAACGCGAGACAGTTTGGGTGGTTGTTCCATCTTCTCAACAAAAACCTCATCCACTTCGTCAACACGCTGTAAAAACATATTATTGTCACAAATCAATAAAACAGAAGCAATAAAGAAGTTCTGTATTTGCAGATTCTCCAGTAGGAAACTTAGCTGCACGAGGTACACATATGGTAAAACCTACTGCAAAAGATGAATTAAATTCAAAGACTTACATTTTCAATGAATTGAGTGGCCGATAGATCTCGCAATCTGTTCAAACTATTTTTTAGATGCAGCTCTACATTACCAGTTTCTGCTCCCAAGAGATGCACCTCTGCCGCAACTTTCCTCGTTCTCTCCTTCAAACGCTCGGCAAAACCCTCCAGCCACTCTTGTAGCTATTAGATAAAACCCAACAAAACCATTACGTCAATCCACGTAGTTCCAAACCAAAGAACTTTGACACTCCATGATAAATCATGCCAAGAAGGGTAGATTTAGAAAAAAACTAGAGGAGAGCCCAGACCTGCACATCAGAGCGAAGCGACCATCCAGCACGGGAGGCTTCGGAGAAAACAGTGAGAAGACCATCTTTGTCCATCTTGGTTTACACAAAAGCACAAGGTTCTGACACCCACTTCACTCCTGCAAGAAGACAACAATAATTTACACTCACGCCCTCCTTCATGTCCGACAAATTCATGTCATACATGGTTCTGGTTCAACACACACATCCCAGCTTCACTAGAAACGTAAGCAAATAATTCACCTACACGCAATAACAACCAGGATTGTGACGTTCCCTCAACTCAGTGCTCGGTTAGAACTTCTATCCTTGGTACAAAATTCCTCTTGGTTCTCATGAACTTTAGTTACTGCAATGCCAGCTAATTTTAATAAACTAGGCCACATAATCGGCAAGCGAGTAACAGTGCTTCTCTTCGAGAGGTTCAGTCATAAAGGTTACAACATACAGTAACACTAGGGAAATAGCTGGATTATGAACAAACGTATTACACAAAATTAGTCCGTGACTCGAGAGTACTGAAAGGAGTAGATGACAAAAGCTAGACAGGAAGGTCCAACATGGCACTTGAGGCCCAATGGCACAGCTGAAGTACTCAAAGTGTAAGAGGAGATGTAGCATATCTAGTGAATCTCGTACATCAAGATTTCGATATTCAATTCTTGAGAACTTTTACATTACTTACCATTTAATACTCCACTGACAACCATCCAAAACACATATAAACTCCATTACTCTGCTACAAATAGCCACTGAACCAATGACATGTGTGGATTGGACAGATACTACTCTCACCACGAATCATTAAAGCATAGCACATTTTGCATTACTACAAGGATCACAGAGAGTAGACACTTACAATTTCTAAGAGAGCATCAATCGTTCCCTTTCCCTCTGCACAACTTAAGTCTCAAACAATCTCTCAGCTCCTCACAACCAAATCAAATCCGAACAAATCATCGTTCTTCACTCCGTTCCTGGATGCTTCCAGCGGGTCAAAATGAGTTCACAACCACCAGCCACGATTGCCAACACCAATACCTCAATCCGTCCTACCAATACCTCAACACTAGAAGCACAGGCTCAAAATCCTCCCCCCTTAATCCACTCTACCCCGTATCCGAAACCTAAGTTACAGAGTCCATCGACGCGAGCAGACCAGAGGCCACAAAAGCGCGAGAGTAGAGATGGAATTTGTAGATTCAGGATCAATGCGAAGAGCTTCTTCAACTTACGGAGATGGCGATGCACACGGCTTCAGCGATCGAGTGCGGAATCCAGTGCGCGTGGCTATGGCGCCTGGATCAAAGACGATTCTGCGGCGAATCCATTCTGTGAGTCCAAATTGCATGTGCCGAATCAGAGGGGGTCAAGCGGAGTGCTCCACAAGCAAATTGCTCGCCTCGTGAATTTTTTATTATGCTTTGTTCGCGGTGTGGCGTCCCCAGTGGCAAGATTCCGTCGGAACGATCGAAACGTTTTTGCGGCGAATCTTTTCTGGAATATGTTGGAATCTTTGAGAGGATCTTTGGACAAAGATTCCTTTTAGGTGTTCAATTGCTGTCGCCAGATGTAAGGCAGCAATTGAACTGACCTCTTGTCATAATATTGTACTCTTACAACAACAACAACAAAAACAAACAAACAATAAAGAGTTTTTAATGATGTACTAAGATTAAGAAGAGAAGGGAAAAAATTAAATAAATTAATAAATAAATAAGTAGGTAAAAGATGCTTCTTGTTCAATGTTGTAAAATTTAATATTGTGAAATTCCATTCCCTATAAGAGAATTTAGAATGGAAGAGATTTTAAAATGTCAATTTGTTGCTCTGGTTAGATTTGTTAAAATAGCATCTTAAACGGGTGAATTGCATTGTAGACTAAGACTCACTGATTGGCGTTTTAATTCTATAAATGGGTGTTATTATTATCATTGTCTTAGAGACAATAATAACTCAACAAGGTTCAATAAAATTGTGTGGGTTATATTTAGAACCAAGAGCATCTTGTACTAAAAATGATAATAATATATGCCTATTTACAATACCTATCTTTAAATTAAGAATTGAGCATAAATTTCAAAAATTAGAAATTGTTGATTCATTTATTTTGAAATAAAATTATATATATATATATGCTATTCATTTAAGAGGAGCATTAAATATCTAACAACAAATGCAGTGAATATATGTATTTTTCTTTTTATCATTTCACTGTCTCAATTCATTGCACACTAGAATGTTAATAAATAAAATATATATTTATTGGAAAATATAGTAAAATCCATCAAATATTTAATATTGGCTTTCAAACTAATAATAGAAATTTGAATCTTATTTAGAATTTGATTTACACATTTGAATCATAAATACAAATATATATTCAATTCTTCATATCATACATTTTATTATTTCAATACAAGACAAGTTATCTAACAATAAATAATATACATTTGTTGGGGGAATATTAAATAGACCCAAATAAATCTTAAATTAACCCACCTTTTCTCTTATTGTCTAATATCACATCATATATTCCTCACCAATCCAAAGAAAGTCATCATCCTCATCAATTCTTCAATTTTGCATCTCTTGAGTTCTTTCTCATTCAAAAATGTTAACAAATAGTCTAAGGTTTTTTAGGTATTTTAATTGAGAGGATGGTAGCATGGAATGACTCCAATGCTTTGATGCAAGGGTGGCTTCAAAATCTATTTAGTAAATACTTAAGGCAAATTTATCATGATCTAAGAATGGACTTTTTTTGGATTAGTGAGGAGTAAGAGCTAAAGGGGGTCAATTTTAAATTTACTTGACTCAAATTAATATTTCCCTATTTTTTTCATATATTGATAATTAATAAATTTTATAAAAGACATTATTGCACATTCTTTTGAAATGATTATTTTTTAAAGGATAAAAATGACAGTGACTATTGTTTTGTTTTTATTGTAAAGAAATTGTAATAATAGTAGTATATATAAAATTTTATATTAAGATCCAAAATTTATAAAATCTAAACATAAAACTAAACAAACAAATGAAATCTAAATACACTGTTTGTTGTGATATTAATCTAAGGAAATTTAAATCAATCTTATATAAATTGCTGATGACAATACAAAAATCAACAAAAATAAGGACTACTTTTTAATTAAATTTATTATGGTTATTTTAGGAATGTATTTTTTTAAGAGACTTTTCAATTTTATAATTCAGCAGAATATTACATAAATAAATTTTTTATTTGTATTAAAAAACTAATACATTATATTTTAAATTAAAATTACAAATTGTAAATTCTTATATTACAATTTTTCATATATATAATGTTGCCACAAAAAATACTTATACAACATCAAATGCTATGACAAAACATAATCATAATCAAATGTTATGACAAAACATAACTATGTTACATAACATAGTTATAAGACAAAGTAGCATAATAAAAAAATATATCATAAATTTGAAGAACCTTACTTATAAACATGTATTTTTAATTTTTTATTTTAAAAAAATAAAATGATTCAAGATATTTTTATCATATTAAATTGTCAAACATTTAGAGAATTATTTTTAGAAATGATTAGAAGTAGCAAACTTCATATCAAGTAATGTAAACTCCTCTAAAACAATCTCTTAAATCTCAAAATTGGAGAAAAAACAAAACAAAACAAAACAAACAACAAAAACTTATCTCTTAATAACTAGATAATCTGGGTGTTATTAATAATGTCCAAAATTCCAATTTTAAAAAAGTTAAAAAACCACAATTTAAGTAATGTGTTACTTTAGCTTTGATAATAAATAAAAAAATAAAAAAATTTGTACAATTCAACCATTGCAAATGGTTTTACATCCAAAGATGTGTGGCTTAGTAGAATCTCTTAACCATCTATAATAATGTGACTCAAAGTTCAAGCCTATTTAAAAGTGTTAAAATGATTTATTTCTAAAAACATTCCAAGAATTACAAACAAATCAAAATCCAATATAAAAATAATTTAAAACTTTAAAAACTTTTTATGCAATATTATAAATAAATTAAATATTATTATATTCTTACACACAATTCTAAATAAAAGACTAACTTTATTATGTTGTAAGCTTGCTTATTTACTTAGTACATATTTGAATTGATTTTTTACATAAAAGAAACTTGTATATCATCTAAGGGATTTATATTACTTTCTAAAATATTAAGTATAGACAATGGATCAACTTTTACACATTCAATCAAAAGAATTACTAAATATATGTAATTTTTTGTTATATATATATATATATATATATATATCTGTATTCATATTTTTGGCATGTAATGAAAACTAAACTATTTCGGAATAGATGTTTATGATTGATTTTGAATTAGGCAATAATTCCAAAGTCCAAATCATGAGCAATAATTTGTTGTCATTTCAAAAATGTGTAACATCCTACTACATTTTATTTTCAATAGTCTTTGAAAGTTTCCTACTACCAAACATTTCTAAAAAAAATCCTTTAAATGTTTTTTTAGATTCAAGAATTTGAAGACATTAATAAGCCATGTAAAATTTGAAGGTAACTTATGAAATTTTGGTACTTTAAAGTGTACAATTTGCTTCTCAAACAAAACTTATTGTGAGATTTATTCTTTTTGTAATTATCTAAAAACATTCTAAACCAACATCTAATGTTTTTACATATACATGTTTAGAGTAAATTAGCATTTAGTTATAGAAGAAAAAATAAATATTGCAAAGAGTGTTGACCACTTTAGTTTTAAAATTACAGTTGAAACATTACATTGTATCATTTTAATTAACATTTAATACAAAATCATTTTACACTCAGAAGAAAATACAACAATCTAGATTAATGCTTAAATATCTACAGTTCTCAACAAGATCATATCAGAAATCACCCAATACTATCAGGAAAGCTAAAGCTAAAATAACACCACCTTTAACGTTGTCCAAAACTAGTTCGAACAGTTTCAGATTAAAGAACAAAAAAAACCTCCACAATAAGTAACAGAAAAGTCAGAATTCACTATTCGATATCATAAAAAAGTTATTCGAAAAAGAAGACGTCGCGGGCCCCGAAAAGTAACGTTCAAAGAAAAGTCAAAACCCACAAAACCAAGTCCATCGAGCGGGTCTCGAGTCGGGAGCGGGGACACTTTCGACCCGCGGTCTTTAGAAGTGGAGCGGGGGCGACCGGGGGACGATGCGCGAAGGTGAAGCAAAGGGAGAGAGAAGGCTTCGGGGACGAAGTGAAGTGCTTCATTAAGAGTTGGCTATGGCGGGGGAGATGAAGAAGGCCTCGGCGTCCCCGTGATGGAGCACACAGCCCCCCTGCACGGCGCTTCCCTCTGCTTGATCACGCCAATGCTGCTGCCGCATCACTAGGGTGCACACCCGAACCACTAGTCTGCTCAGCTTCTACACGCGGCGCGGTGCGGCACGGCCTGCCTCTGCGAAGAAGCGCGGAGACGGACGGCGAAGAAGTAGACCCAGGGTCGGACGTCCGGCCGCCATGGAGGGCGCTGGGAGCGCGGGGCGGGACTTTGCGGAGGGTTGCAAACTGCAGATCAAAACCACGCTCGGCGATAATATCGAAGGCCTTGTCTTGACCTTCGATAAGACCACCAACATTGTGGTTATTCATATCTTTTTTTCGTCATTTCTTGGGGCCGGAATTTCTGTTCGTGGGACGGGGATTTTTGGGTGCTGGGTTTGAGGGTATGTGCCGTATAGGGGTTTTGAGTCTCGGATTTGGGTTAGCAGATGGGGCTTGTGGGGTGGGGGTTTATCACTCCGGTCATTTATGAGGTGGAAATCGGCTATGGAAAGCTGAGAGCCTGTTGAGTGTCCTTAGATTTTGGGTGGGGAGGAGATCGGGGTCGGGGGTGATTTTCGTTTGGTGTTGGATTGTTTGCGCTAGATGGGGCAGTTCGAATTCTGTGCGATTATTCGGGGCAAGAAACTTGACGCGTGTTAGTTTGCATGTGTTGGTCTAGCTTTTATCTCGAGATTTTTTGTGGCGTACACCGCCCCGTGTTCAAGCATTTTGTGGCTGTTTAGGTTCGATCAGAGTTTGGCTTTAGGGTTTCATAGCTGTACTTGTATTATTTGAACATCGAGCTGGACCGAGAACTTCCATAGTTTTGATTTATGTTATTTGATATTTTTCACAGAATTCGGACCAAGGGTTGTTCCTGGGAAGGTTGCAACATCGTAGAGTGGCTATTAGTTTCCTCTAATTTTAAGTCATAGTGCTCCTCCTGCTAATTTTAAGTCCATGGTTACTACTCTTCATTGCTGTAGCTATGTATGCTTCAGAAATTTGAAGCAATATCCGTTGTTTTGTGAAATAACGAGACTATTGTATTGGAGGGTGTTTTGAGGGCAGGGCACGCAGGGGATTGATAATTAGGACTTAATACGTGAAGTTCAGAATGACAATTATCTCACGGTCTGATGTTGCGTAACACATTTGCGTCGTGCCCAGACCATGCCTGAGGCGAGTTGTGTGTTGGTGCAGCTTACCTCTAAAATATGTTTCAGTTGTCAGACTTTTTATGTAGCTTCTGATTCGTTCTGGGATATATTGGCCACTATGTTTTCGTGTTTGCGGGATGGTTTTGTAAGTTTAATTAGGTCAAAGAACTTTTGCTTGGGTGTCTCAGATAATCACATCCTGTCTAGAACATTAGTGTCTCTGTCGCGAATTAATTTTTTTCCCCTTACTTGAAGTATTCAATGTAACTCACACAATAGTAGGAGAATTTATAAGATATCACCCAGTTGCACAATCAGATGTTATCCTTGACAGCCACTGAACAGGAAGGTGGCAGTGCTGAAGGGCGCCGGAATTTACGGTTTCTGAAGACGAGCTTCGTTAAGGATGTAAAACTAATTGGTCATGTACAGGATGCTCTTGATTTGAAATTTGCAGAGCCTGATATCAAGAGTTTAAGGGACCGCGAGGAAGCTGCTATTAAGTATGGCCTCTTTCCCTTGTATTAGCTGACATCCATTGAAGGATGATGTCCTCGTGCTTTTTTTGTAACCTCTCGTCGGTTCAATGTCGGTTTTATGTCAATGCAACTGCTTGCATGAGCTAACTCTCGGGGTGCATTGTCAATCTACCAGGCAGGCTGAGGCAGAGGCTGAAAGGATTGGTGTGGGAGTTACAGTAGAAGCACAATTTATTTTTGATGCTCTTTCTAAGACGTAATCGCTTCAACCGTTATGTCTTCATTTCATTCCTTGATCGAATATTCCCCTCTTTTCCTTCATTCTTTATTTTTCATTCTTTTTTAATTTGATTTGTACATTTTTTTGTACTAACCTTGGGATTTTGGGTTTAATCTGAACTCGATATTATATTCCATGTTAACTGACATTATATACTGGGTATGAATCAGGTTACCTTGTACCTGGGATAGGACTACTATTGTAGTCATGAATGACGTTTGCGTCAATCATCCCTACTTACCAGAGAATGTCATTGGAGGTGCCTCTGCTGCCAACGAGCGCGTTCGCAAAGTTGTAAGCTCTTTCTTGCATATCCTCTGTTGCATCGGTAGAACCTGGATTGTGGTTGCTTGAAGGATATTATCCCAGTTTTGCGGCAAAGTTTTTATGAGTGGATTGATTTGTTGTTTTTTTTGCAGCTCGAAGAAGTTAGGAAGAGATTGCAAAGTCGGCCAGGTTCTCAGTGACGTTGGTCCTGTTAGGAATCCCCTAGCTTGCTGGAATTTCAGCAACGGAGGATTGTGAACAGCTTCCAACTAGTGGGAGCACCAGGATGACCAGCTATTCTTATTTTAGCTGAGCAGCCTGTACCAGTGCAAGAACATTCCTGCAAAGATTAATTGTGCCCTCTTTGAGAATTCGAATTGCCAGGGCTTCTGCACCGGCCGAAGGCAATGGCTTTGTTGACCTCGAGCTGATTGCTCCATTTGCATGAAAGTTGTATTGAGGATCTAGTGTTTGGGTTTCAAAGTTATCGTATAATTTTGGATTCCTAATGGACTTCGGGTTGAGAAAGATGTATATGTATCGCCCTATGCTGATTTGGAGACATATGTAAACAAGCATTTCAATTGCATCGATTGGCATCAATCAATTGTGTCTTCCTGTGACTCCATTGGAATTGAAACGAAAGAACCGAGCACTTGAGGAGTATTTTGAAGTCACTTCACAGATAACAATTGCTCTGAGCTTGAACCTGCCACACAAGACTGACAGTTGAAAAAATAGGGGAAGTCATTGTACTAAGCAAAACTGCATTTGATTGAGTTTCAAATTGATATTCTCTTGATTTTTTTATGGTTTCAAACAATACTTTAAGGTGCGGCAAAATCCGGAAATTTCAGTGTGGACAGTGATAAACCTTTGCAGAAACTGAATAACCTTCTTGAAGTACAATATTCTGAAACTTGAAAGTGCAGGAGATGCGCTTCAGGTGATTTCTGTTTAAGATGAAGGCAAGAAAAACCTATTCTCTCCATCATGTTGCACCTCCAGGAATCAAGAAAAGTATCAGGGAATTGTCATATTCTGTAGGATAAGACATGATAGGGTAAAATGTTTCACTGTAGAGGAAACATTGTTACATCAGTAAGGACAAATACGAGTACTCAACGTACACACTTGAAGTATTATTATATTATCACCATGTCTTTCCAAAAAATATGTGGTAGCTACAACATCACAATTGGAATCTTACAAAAACTTTAATGCAGAAATAAATGTCCGTTTGAAAAGGAACTGTGACAATCCCACAAGTTGATCTCTTGTTTTATTTTTTATAATCAACTAGGATTAATGTCAATGTGTTAAATATCCATTGCAAATTTAATTCATTACAAATTTATGTATCTTATATTATTTTTTCTGAAATTAAATTAATAAGAATAAAGAGGATCAAAATGAAGCATTTTAATTTGCATCATACTGCAACGTTAGTGTTGTTAAATCCTAAAAAACTCAAGGGCAATCTCTTTACCTATCCACTCTGTGTTGATATTAACAATATGATTAGATGTTCCTTGTGCAAATTAAATACCATCATTTTATTGCATATTGATGAATTAAAAAAAAAAAAATCTTAGTATAAAAAAATAATTTAAAGTCAATATGATGATGTTATATATGTATATATATATAGTCAAATCTTCATTAATTGATAATATGTATTACAAAGAGAGATTAATTAGTAGAAGATATTAGGTATTAGAGTAGGATTAAGATTAAACACAGTGATACATTATGTGTGACTCTTCTCTTTCTTCTTAATGCATAATAAGCCAAAAAAATATTTTTTAAAAAATAAAAATATTTGAATCTATATTTTTAAAGTTTAGAAATAATTTAATATATGTATACTTCTTCATTTTGTCAGTTATAAGTCTTAAGATTATAATTTAAACTTTTTCAGTTTGTCAACTCTCTCTTCTTCCTTGTCTATTCCTATTTCCACACTCTCTCTTATCTCCTAACAAATGTCACTCTAACCAACAAAATTTAAATAATTTAAAACTATACTTTTAATAGTTCCACCAATTAAGATTTATTGGTGGGATTCACAAGCTATTATGAAGAATTTGAATAAGATTTGAAATGTTATATAAGATTTTAAGGCTAAATGAGTAATTTTTAGTATTGTGGCGAAGTCAAAAATACTAAAAAAATAGTTCTATTAGTAAAAAATAGGAGGGCCAATATCTATTGTAGTAGTTGTAAAAAGAGAAGTGCACATATCTCATATTGGTTGTAGCACCTTGGATATAGATAGAAGGATAAGACTAAGGCTTTGTAGCCTTTCTAAGACATCCATATACACTACTTTTTGAGCCTTGGTAATGCTTGAATCTTTGATCTCTTAAGCAAATTATTCTTGAGGTAAAATATATTCATTTAATTTTTTTTCTTTCTATCTTCAAATTATTATAATTTACTCATAATAATTTGATTTTAATATTTTTTATGTCATTAAAAAGATAAAAATTATAAATCTAAAATATATTTTTTATATTTAAACTTTACTTTTTTATCAAATTAAAATTTAATAAAATGTTTATAATTAATTTTTAGAATATGTAGTTTTTTGATTGTATCTATTTGACTTATTTTGTTATTTTGATTTTGATTTTGATTTTTTTTGCCTCTTTTTGATTGTATATTTCATTTCATACTATTAATCATAAACAAATTTTAATTGATACCATTTTGTAATTTGGATCAAAAGGTGAATTTTACCTTTATTTTTCTTAAGCAGTTTCTTTATTACTTCAATAAAAAGAAAGTTAAGAATCTTCTCAAATGACTTCTTGTATTGCTTGGGAGTTATACAATCTAAAAGATGTTCTCTAACAACCTCTTGGAGCCTTCTAAAAACTTTTAGGATCTTTTAGATCTTTCAAAGAGGTACCAAGAAATTCCAAGATATTCCACAATCTTCGAGATCCTTTTCAAACCTTCAAAAGTCTTCCTTAGATGGATATCTATGTTATATACATGTTCCATGTGAGTTGTAGCATCTTGGAGGTAGTTAGGAAGATTAAACCAAGACCTTGTGGCTTTTGTAGGATATCCTATATATTACTTATTAGCTTTGATAGAACTCAAACCTTTCACCACATAATCAAGTTATCTTTGACGTAAAATAATAATTTTTTAACTTTTCTATTAATTGATTTTTATCTTCAAATTATTATAATTTACTTATAATAATTTTGACTTATTATTTTTTTAATATTTTTTAAAAAATAAAATAACTGTTTATATAAGAATTTATTTATTATTTTAATTTTCTACTATTATTATAAATTAAAAAGTTAATGAAAAAATTGTGATTAGTTTTTGAGTGCATTTAATTGATTGTATTTTCTTTCATTTTATTGATTGTACTTCTGATTTTTTATCAAATTTTTTAAAAAATCTTAATTAAGGTCATCTTATAATTTAGATAAAATAATAAATTTTATCCTCAATTAATTCAAAAAAATTCATTTGTTAGTTTTGATGTTGAAATGTATGATGAAATAAAATATGATGTTAAATTTTTACATGTTAGATTGATCCATACAAACAAAAAAGACAATTTTGGATATTATGGAATAGCAAAGTATCTACTACAAAGGTCAAAAGACATGAATCTTATAGAAGTTGGAAAATTGGATACTTTAGAACCATCAATAGATATGAAAAGTCTTATAATTATAGAATCTAAAAAAGAAAAACTTAGATCTTATAGAAAAGTTTATGAGTCAAGGTGGTTTGAACTTTTTTATATACTAAAAAGATGGATATTGGATATTTTTTGTTTTTCAAGAGAGTTGTGAGTATTCTAGGAAATTTATGCCATCCTAACTTGATAACATATTATTTTGCAATGAAAGATAATGCTAATAAAAGTAATAAATCTTTTGTAATAATAATCAAAAAAGATCTTTTTTATATAAGAATGAAATTGATGCAAACAAATTTGAGTGACATGTTACAAAAATAAGAAAAAATGTCTTTTATTTTAATTCATATTATGCATCAAATTACAAAAAAAATATGTTATTTATATGACATGCACATTGTATATTGTGTTTTAAAGCTTGAAGATATTTTGATTAATATTATGGAAATAAAAATTATAGATAAGACTATTCAATATATAAGTATAAAAGTGGTTGATTTTAGAATGTCTAAGATTGAAATTGGAAGAAATCCAAAAACTACACAAAGTAATATTGCTTATGGTAGTTGTTAACATATGGCTCTTGAGGTACTAACAAATGCATTTCAAAGAATGACCTTGTGGTATTTTGAAGCAAATGTTTATTCATTTCCAATGGTTTGTTCTAAGATTTCTAAAAAAGATCCATTTTATAATGTTGAATTAATGAAAGAGATATTAAAAATAATTGAAAAAGTTGAAAGACCAAGCTTACCTTCAAATTGTAACAAATTGAGTGAATTTATCAAAGAGTTTTGGAACTTAAATACTTTAAAACAATCAAACCTTTCAAAAATTTATAAAAGATTGGATATATTAAAGTGTAAGCTTTTAGGTGGAACAAGTATGGCAAATCTACTAAATTTTGAAGCACCAAAATATTATAATTATTAAAATATATTTTTTTAGAAAATACACAATAAATTTCTATTGATAAATTTTGTATAAGAAATTATAATAAGTAGGTATTGAATTAATTTTATTGCTTTTATTTTCTATTTTTATATAAATTTTAATATTATAGTGATGATTAGATGCTTTTATAATAGAAAAAAAATTTAAAATTAAATATAATGAATGCACTATTTTTATTCTTTTATAAATTTGATGGTTAAATTTTTAAATATAGGTTGATTTATTTGAAGAAGAAATATTTAGTATGATACAAAGTTTTTCACAAATAAGACAATAATGTGCAAATAAAACAAAGACATTGTATCTTATTGGAATAAGTGGAATAAGCAAGACTACAATACTAAAATTTGTATTGAATAATATGAAATTCATATATAATACCTCATCCTTTATTGAGTGCATTAAAAGTAGTAGTAGTTTTTATAATATTTTTTGCAATATTTTAGAATAATTTCAAATTAAATCAAAATTAAGAGATATAAAGATAGCCTAAGAAATGTTGAAATCATTTTTGATCATAAAAAACTCTATTTTGGTCTTTAATAATGTAAAGAATCAAAGTGAAATTAAAGAGATTGTATCTATAGATGACATATGTGCTTGCAATGGTAGTACATTGATTGTGACAATTTGAGATTCAAAAGCAATAAAGCATTGTAATAAAAAAAATTGTAAAATAAATATTAAAAAACTTGATAAAGAAGTAAATATAAAGTTGGTTATTATTCGCTTTTGTAGTCAAGATACAAGTAGAAAGATTGTTGAAATTGAAATGGAAAATAAATATTCAAAAATATAGAATTTGAATGTAAATTCATTTTTTGGATTATCAAATAAGATTATTTATTTAACTATTATCTTAATGGCATGTATAGAATTAATAAAAAAAACAGATATTAAAAAAATGGTTTATTATTTTTATTTTTAAAATATTATTTAATTTTTATTGTATTATTTTACATATATATTTATTATT